ATAAAAATGCCAAATTCAGTCTAAACATCTGGCTGACTGTGCAACCAACAATAATACTTTATTAAACTTGTATGTTGTCTGACTCTCAACGACTCTGAAGGGCTCATAACAATTAAAGAAATTACAATAAAATCAATAAAACTTAAAAAATAAAGATAAAAGATGGCAAGCATTATAACATGAGGGGTCTCATTCTTCCTCACCAAAGGCCTGGATGAAGACCCAGGTCTTCATGGCCCTTCTAAATTTCCTGAACATCTGGATCTCATGAGGAACCTAAACTTTCCCAAGATGGAGGGAGCAATAAATATATAAAATATAAATAAATATCCCTTTCAAGAGACAATCAGTTGTTAATACCAGGCCAAGTGGAAATTGCACCCTAAAAAAAGCAACTGTCCCACAGATATTCACAGAGTCCTGTCTTTCCTTTTGGCCTCAGTTTGACCCAGTTGCAGCTGGCCATTAGAAACATTTCCCCCTTGTGAGCCAAGCTTTCAGGGAATGTATGATGGAAGGTAAAAAGTTGCCCGTTCGTATATTAGATCCTAGGAGGAAATAGACAGGGACAGAATGAACACAACAGAAGAAACACCAATACCACTGCTGGAAACTGGGCAATATTTTAGTTCTGAAACAGCTTGTTATGTATTAAAAGAGCCCTGACATACTTTCTGTATAGTCACTCTATAGGGCTACCAGCTCTGGGTTGCAAAAATCCAGACAACCTGCAACAAAGATATACAGAAAGCTCTAACTGTGATGCCACAATGTGTTTGTCAGATTTTTAAAGCCCAGAGATTGTCACCCTATGCAAGCCCAGAAAATAGCATTCAGGGCACTCAGCAGCATCTGCAGGAAACTGCAATGACACCTAAAAGACAATGTGCATGTGGTTTTGAAGAACTGGAGTCTGAGAAAGGGATTTATTTATTTATTCAGCTTGTATGCTGCCCATCTCCCCCACGGGTGACTCTGGGCGGCTCACAATAAAAAAGAAAAAATACAATTCT